CCAACAAGATCTGGGTGTTCTGTTCTAGCACTGGTTTACTTAGGACGAGAGCTGGGGTCGGAAGTTCTGAGACTGGACGACCGATATAGGAAGCGTGGTTCTGTAGAGAATGATCCATTTTTGACAGGTTTAGCGGAGAGAACAGCGGTCTCAACGGCGGATTTATATGAGCCGAGTAGCGGAGTTCACCGATAACAGGGCGTGGGGGTATGGGATGATCTTGCGGGGATGAAATTGGGCTTGTAAACGGCGGACCTGTGAATTACTGCATCAGGTTAGTTTTGCCTTTTTGGGTTTAGTGCCCCAATACACCGTCACGTAACCTCCCTTCAGTGCCTTCATAGTCTACTAGTTCTTCAAATGGATCATTCTCTGTCTATTCCCCTCGATCATTCTCTCCTCGATTCGATGATATACCACCTCGCCAATTCCTTATCCTAGTGCCTCATCCTTGACCCACTTCTTGGGGCTGCCTAGTTGTGATCGCTGCTCTATTCTGTCGTGGCTTGCTTCCCTAGTGACTGCAGGTGCTACGCCCTATCCCAAGTATCTAATGGCAAAAATGCCTCATCGACGATCTCTTAGGCTCATATCTAAACCTGTCAACCGAGCAACTAGTCAATACCAACCAGCGCCCTCCACCTCTCAACCCTTAAGAGACCCCGAGAACCAGCAAGCACTAAAACAATCGACCCCGCAATCCTGAGTCACCATACTTGATCATCTCAGGTTCTTCATTCAAAGACTTCGCTTGACCAGAAGTGATAGGCAATTTGCGCAACGTTGTGGGATGGAATATGTGCGGCACAATGTCCTAGTGTCTCGAGCCTGACTTGGCGGCACATATCATGATTGGGTGTGATAAGCTGGAGATAGGTAGATCTGCAACTAAATCGAAACGTTCCAGAGCATGCAGTGACCACCAATGCATTAGCGTGATCCTGTGACATTTTAGCAAGTCACTTATAAGGAGTCTTGAGAGGAAGCGCCCTGCCCCCCAAATCAGACTTGTGAGGGGAACCCTGCGTCTTGGCAGGGTAGTCTGGGAAAATGGTGATATGACAGCTGTTCAGACATACCCAGCAGACCTGTTCAAAGCAGGGGCGCTAGTTGGCCATCAAATTTTGCGCTTCTGCCTCCTCAATTGGCATTTTGACAAGGAAGAGACATTGATTGGCTATTAAATTTGGGGCATATGTCGTTCCAGGAGGAGGATCGTGGGGGCTGCATCGGTGTGGACATCTGCGTTATGAGGGGTATAGTTTTAAATGAAATTCAATTATATCAGGAATGTTAATAAAGCTCAATATTCCCCAGCACATAAAATTGCAACGATAAAAAATTATAGCCTCGAAAATATTTTACCTTCTGCTTAATCAAAATATTCCCATATTATAATATTACTCTTAAAGATTATCTATAATATCTAAATAAACTCAATAGAACAATCCTCATAATTTTTATGCCTCCCTGATGTGATTAAGACTCTCTTGGCGTAAACAATTGGGGCAGCAGTTCCCCCCCGTCGCGCAGGGAATGTCCCCATAGACCCGCACGGAAACCTGTCTATCATTGGGTTGACATCGCTTTCGCCCCTGGCAAAGGACGGCCACCATGGAGCTGTTCATGAGGGTTTTCATTAATAATGGACCTCTCTAAGACGTACACGTGTCGGTGTTGTAGCGAGATCTATATGAGGTGAGCAGCTCATCTCGCAGGTATGTCAAAAGTACTATAAAAAGCACATCAATTCTTTGAAACTACACAAGCTTTGATTGAGCTAATTGAGTCGGTCCGCGGTTGACAATTGCCAGTTCTCCCAGGGAATTCCACGCATAGATCACGGACACTCAGAGCCCAGATCGTGCATTATACCTAGGTACTCCCTAGGCGATTGAATCTGGTCGACCCGCCAAGAGATGTAGGGGCCATGTAGCTAACGCCTGCCACTCCCGCCAAGATCGCCTCCGGAGAGCTGACTGGTCTAGCGGTTTAGCGGATCCTACGAACGATATCGACTCCAGTAGCGGAAGGCGCGGCGATCCCAGGGTCTACGGATGTACGCATCGGGCCCAGTTGCATCTACATACACGATGCGCCCATAGTGCATGGGAGGAGGCCTGATTGGACCGCGCGGGCGTGCATTACCAACTCCGTCGAGCCTCACACCTCCCTCCACCTCTCCTGCGAATGCCGTCTATTTAATGTCCTCCATGGGAGAATCACCAGAGGACCTTTATAACACCAGCATCGGTCGCATCCCTTGTGTATATCTAACGTCATCCCCGCTCCTGTGGACGGAATCCTCACCAGCGTCTGTCATTTAAAGGAGGGGCCTCTACCACTCCAGATCTTCCGGATAATCCCTTCTCATCTTACAAATCTTCTACACCATGCTGCGCCATGCACCTGATGGATCAGACTCCAGCGCGGCCTCGATAGAGGACCGAAGCGACGACCATCACAGAGCGCACTCGTCCACCATCACCAAGAAAGAACGCGCGTCGCAACCCGCAGGAAGACTGGCCTGTGACATTTGCAGAGAACGTATGCGAAGCCCCCGGAAGAGTGAACGAAGTACCGTGCTGACTCTGATCCACAGGCAAGGTCCGTTGCGACCGCGGGGACCCGAAATGTGGCCGTTGCGCGCGGCTTGGGTACGAGTGCAGCTACCAGGGACGGAAGCGACATCGTGCAGCTCAAGCGGATATGCCACGCCAGTTATGTGAACTACAGAACCGATTAGGTAAATGCCCCAATCTCGAATAAATTGCGAATAAATTGCACCCTCGCTCATCCTGGTCGGTTGTCTCAGCACATGCAGAGGCGCTCCTGCGCACAACTCCCTCCACAGCATTTACTCCCACTACTGCTCGACAGATTCCCCCCCATGTGGACTTATCCTGGCCGTTGATGACGCCTTCGGACCGGCCAGGCGACCATGAACGACTAATGCAGCGGCTCCAAAGCCATGTAACCCCTCCGATAGATCGTGCCTTTGAGGGGCTGGACATGTTAGCGAACTTGACCGAGGATATTCCCGATTTCTGGGGGGTGATGGACCCGGCTCTGACGCCGGACGCTCTTCCACTCCTGCCCGGCGATACGCCTCAGCTGCCAACCCCCTTCGACACGGGCTATCTCCATACTGCGAACGGTAATTCGGTTCCTCCTACTTTCGAAAACTCTCTCTTTTCAACGCATGAACTAGAGGAGCCAATTTCACCGTCCGATCTCGCCGCCCTGTACCGTATTGCCATGTCCCCTTTGGCTGGAACAGGAAACTAACCGATCGACCCAGACACCAGAAGTACTTTGATATTTTCTATCCTGTTCTACCAATCCTAAATCAATCGCGATTTCGCCGAGAATGGGCCCAGGATCCAGCCTCCCCCCGAATCCGGGGATTAAGTTACGCTGTGGCCCTGGTCGGCTCGATGATTGCGCCAGAATACGCCCATCTCCAGTCACGTTGTTACAGCGATGCCCGCAAATACATCGAGCTCTGCGAGCGCGACGATGATGAGACAAACATTATGAGCTTGAATGCCTTTCAAGCGTTACTATTCATTATTCGCTATGAACTAACGAAAAAGCACTTTGTTCGCGCGTGGATGACTCTCGGCCGTGCTGTTACGCTTGCTCAAATCCTCAACCTGCACCACATCGATGGCGTGGACGCGACTCGACATCAACGCACTGGGTCCCAAAAAAATGCCATAGAGACAGGATACGTTCGCGATGTTCGCGATCCAGCCTCGATGGAGGAAATCCGACGTTCCTTCTGGTCTTTATACATCTTCGAGAGTTATGGGAGCGTTCGCACCGACCGACCTTGCACCCTAGAAGAGGACACCTTGTGTATCTATCTCCCATCTCCGGGTGAGCTCAAAGAAAGCTTTCTGCCTAGCCCGATGCCTTTTATCAGCGAATCAACGAAACTTACTGGGGTTGGGTACCTGACCTCCTACGCTGCGGTGACCATCATGGTCAAACTTGCCCGCCTCTGCTTCGAACACGTGAGTATTCTCTCTCGCAGTGCCAGCGACTCGGGCTTCTGGGATCGACATTACCGTCTGGTTAAGACGATAAACGACTATACTGCCATATTCCAACGATACCTGACTGCGAAGGCCGTCCGGGAAGACCCATTGGCGTTTTCGCTGCACCTCAATCTCTGTGCAACACATATTAGCCTCCACGAGGCAGCGATACGCAAGGTTGAAGAGCAAGACCTGCCGAAGCTTGTTGCAGCTGAAAGTCGGAAGTGTAGTGCCGCCGCGGCATTTAAGATTCTTGGAGCCATTCGCATGAACTGGCCTGTGCAACGGTCGGAGGTAACTCTTTCCTATTGCTTCATGCTCTGATGTATCCGTGTCCAATCTGACTCATTGTAGCGCGACCACTTCACCCTCCAAGCGACGTTCATCGGCTGGCCCATTTCCATGAGCCTGATCGCCCTGAGCCGCAGTCTAGCCAATGGTGACACCACTCCGATCGGCATAGTGGACTCTCTGCGTCTGCTACGTGCTGCTCTCGACCAGGTGGAGGAACCTGATGGGTATTGGCACCAAGCCAGCGGTGCTGCGGTGACTGCCTTGGCGAAATGGGACGAGCAACAGCGCGAGTCCCGTTCCGTTGAATGACTTGATGTCTCCTGATATGCGTTCAGCGGATATGCAACTCATAGAAATTAATCGACGATCTTGGCTTTAACCAAGCATAAGCCAATCTAGGTTTGATACCTCAAAGTACCTGAGATCGGGGTCCACAGAGAAATCGCACCGACAGTCGTAGCACTAGAGGCTTAAAGCAGCGGAAGGATGTGATAGGCACGCTCATTTGTAACTCGTCTCGACTCGTCGAAGTTGTCATGTCCTACTATTGGCTTAGTAACCAGTCTTAAATATCTCCCTTCGCTCGCAGACGCCTGAAGCGATACATGGTCATGAAAATCTTCTCCTTTCTTCTACATGATCTTGCCTTCTATGTGTATCTACTCAATGAGATGCCTGGACCCCAGACCACAAATGCTGGGAATCACTAGGCAAAAGCCACAACAGCGTCGAACCGAGACACAGAAACAATCCCATCAACAAGGGCCAAATCTGCTGCAGCTCCCCATTCCAACCCCACCATTTCTGTGCTCGCTCCACTTGTTGCTCGCGCCTAGCCAGCCTCTGCTTCTTTGCCTCTGCGGCGATAGTATCCTGCCATCCGAGAAGACCCTTCTGCTCAGGAAAATCGACAAAACCCAACTTTGTGCCGGTACTGCACAGCCTAGCGATATTAATCGCCAGCGTATCCAGGCCAATCCATGGGGTGACCCAGCGCTGCATGATGTAAAAGTACCACCCGTCAAAGGCCTGCAAGCGCGTAAGATCCCCGCCTACTTTCACGATAGCCTTGACGCGCTCGATTCGCGAATCCTGGTACTCCTGCATCGCAGCACTAATCTCCACCGTCGACGGCTTCTTATTCGGGTGTCGGTTCAACAACTCATGGAGTTGATTGGCAATTGCCACGCTATCTTCCATGGCCGTGCAGCCGCCCAGTGCGGAGTTAGGCGTCACCTTGTGGATTGCGTCGCCGGCCATAACCGTCCGGCCAAAAAACCAGTGATCGAGAACGCCCTCTTCCAATGAGATCAGTTGGGCTTTTGTGCGGGTGCGCCACAGCTCCCCGAAGACGACGGACTCGCAGATCGGATAGTCGGCGAGCTTGCGCGCCAGGGCCTCCATGTCGTCTTCGGTGAATCGCGCACGATTCGGCCACGTGCACTGCTGGTCTCCGGGAAGTTTGCAGTGTGCGATGTAGGAAATAAAGGTTGGCTGGCAGAGAAGGAGGAATGAGAAGCGGTCATTTGAGATCGAGTGCATGTCGTGGGGGCCTAATCCGGGGATTGGGGGACACTGGGCTACGATGGCGTTATAAGTGGTGACCATTGCTGGAGGGATCAAAAGTCAGCTTTGGACTAGATCCTCTGATGTGGGTAGGGGTGTGTGTACATCGCTTCTCGGCGGCGGTGATGAAATGTGGAATTGCCTTGTTCGCCTTCTCCCACATAATCTCACGCACCTTGCTGTGCACGCCATCGGCTCCCACGACCAGATCCCCAAAGTACTCAGTCCCGTCCGCCAGGATGACCTGGGATGACTCTGCTGCCTCCTTGATATCGACCACACGATGGCGCTCGAAGACCTTTGACTTGTCAGGGAGGCGGTCATAGAGGATCCGTAAGAACAGCTGTCGGTTCAACGTGCGTGTGTCATATCCTGCACTGGAATACGAGGGTTAGAACACATTGCTCCACCGGTAGATCTTCCTGTCAAGCATAGACATACTATTTCTTGACCATGGGGAAGAAGTCATTCTCTAAGAAGCATTGCCCGTCTGGGGTGCGGTAGTAGCATCTGCCCATGGTCGAGCAGCTGTCCAGCACATCATCCAGGATGCCGAGTTGGTGGAGAATCCGACATCCGTGCGGTTGAATGGTAATAGTCGTCCCGAATGGTGGTGCAACGATACCTTTATCCAGCACAAGATAGTCGATGCCGGCTTTGTCGAGGCAATGGGCTAAGGTCAAGCCGGCCACACCAGCTCCAACAATGATGACCCGAAAAGGAGGCCCGTATTGAGAGGGAGGCGGAGAGTCCGTAATACGGGCAATCATTCTGTTGTCTCTTCACTGGCAATGTCTCTCTAATCTTGCTCCTTCGTCACTGTCGCATGAGATGGCGGGTATGCACCTTATGAGGAGGGACCGTACCCATCCACACGGTACACCCAAGACGGATACGGCCGGACCATATCCACGGGAGTTGATACGGGCGATGCGGTGGTGTCAAGCAGCCCGTGTTGACTCCGTGGTAAAAAACGGCTCCTGTGGAATGTAGATCGGGGACGGAGTTGGGGCGGCCGTCCACGAGCAGGGATCAATTAGGGCTTCTGTCCGTTCCCGCCATTCCCCGATGCCACTATCTTTCGCCGCTATATTTCTATATCTCTTTCACGCATATTGGAGTTTTGACCCGGTATCTCAAAAGGCCGCAGCATACAGTGAGCCATTGTGGCCCAGATGATTCGCCCAGCCCCATACCATCTTCTTGCCCTTGGCATCCTTGGCGTATCCTCTATCTGGGGGTTCATCGGGTACTGGGGCCACATGTTTGATAACTTCGATACAATCGTGGCCACAGGACACTTACCCGATGGACGCGTCATGCGAATGAGCTACACGGGGATTGACGCATTGGATCATCAAATGACGCCAGTGATAGCATTCTACGAAGTCCTCAGTAATGCATTTTCCCTAGGTCCCCGGATTCTCTTCTTCAACATCAACTTTGTTGTCGTCTGCACCAATGTCTGGGTCATGATCGAGAGTCGCCGACATGGTGTGCAGAGCATAGTCCTGAAATAGTACGTTTGTTGTACAGCTGAGCATAATCTGCCATTGACCGCTGGCTAACCGAGCATATATAGTCCCTTCTTCTTTATAATCCTATGGAACTTCATTGGCGCTGCCCTGATTCAACCTCATTATCTTTACCTCATTGTCCAAAACAACCTTACACAGCGAGATCCTACGATCCCCCGACACGAAGCCATCGCAATCTTTCTCACGACCATCTCCGCTATCCTATGTCCATCTCTCCTCTTTGCCCCTGCCTGGCTGGGGACAAGCTCCTGGGCCCACCACGGGCTAATTGCTCTTTTCCACGCCACTCCCATCCTACTCGCCATGATCTTCTATCTCAGCATGCAGATCCTAGGCTCTCCAGCAGGCCGACTCCTAACCAGATCCCGAATCGAAACCGACCCTAAGATCCACCCCGACCAGCCCTGGCTAGTAGGATCCTACATCCTGGCAGGTGTGATCTCAGGAACAGTACATCTATTCACCGTGATCACGGCTCTAAAGACGCGTAACCCAGACGCAAGCCTTTCCCGACTCCTCATTCCAACCTGGAAACGACTCGAGACAGCAAACACCTTACCATTGTCATGGACTGGACAGGGAGCAAATACGTCCGTCGCGCTGAATATCTCCACCGCGGGAACAGGAGATAAGACCGCCGAAGTCCTCGAGCAATTCCACCTTTTTAGTCAGTTTGACTGGATTGTGGTCTCGCTGGCTTGTGTCGTGTTCACTTATCTCCTATTGTCTCAAGCTAGGGAGCGCAAATCAGCGAAAGGCAATGCAGATACTATGCTTTCCAGAGTGTCGGATGTGGAAAAGAGAGACTTGAGTCTTTTGCTTGTTGGGACGGTGTTGTTGGGCCCCGGGGCGGCTGGGTCGTTTGGGCTGGCGGCGCGGGAGGCAAAGTTGCGGCAACAGTGGAATCGGGCTAGGAAGGTGAAGTAAATTGGGTCAGGTGCGTATTGGTGGCAATTCTTAGGGATTTAGTGAGACGTGTTGGGTTCTTTAGGCAGTGTAGAAGGGTCTCAGTATGCCTTGTCTGGCCTTCTGGTCCTGAGGCCGAGGTCTATAGCTTCAATGAGAGATTTGCCTGAGTAAAAACGTTTGTTCCTTTTGTTTTTGTTTATTATAGATTTGTAGTAATCCTTTTCATCTTGTGATATGAGATCGACTCCAGTCATATATTTTAAGTACCAACAACAGCAAGTTCATGATAAGACCGGCAACGCAATGTCCGTAGTACAAAACACAAAATAGCTCCACCAATCATGAGGTAACTAAGGCAGAAGTGACAAACTTTCCCTAGAAATGCAAAAAGTACCTCAATCCATATCATTGATGTTATTTCCTCGGGTCTCAACAACCATAGATCACCTCTATCCGGAAGTTTCAAGCCTTTTCGTCCCCAGAATCCGCTCCCTTCATCCTCGTTTTCTACAAAACCAGTTGATTAGTCCACATAATTGCATCCCAAGTACCCCGAAAGGACTGAAGCTTACCCCCAAAGGCGGCGTAAGAACGAAACTCAATATCCCAGCCACCAAAAAGAACAACCACACATTGCTCATCGCATCTGTGATTTGCGGCGCTACCAGCGCTCGCTCCGACTCCGACAGCGCCTTATACGTCCGGCTACTGGTACCAGCAACAAGGTTGGAAATATCGGCTGCACTCAGCTTGGGCATCGCCTGTGACACTTTTTGCAATGCAGTGTTCTGATAAATTGATCCACACATTGCGAGGAAGATGACCATGCCGAGGTCTTGGGCTATATTTGTAGAATTTATGGTTAGTGTATCTGTTATTTGGATTTAATAGGACCACATTGGTGTCTGAAATTCTCTTACAAATAGCCATTGCGCCCACGGCATTCGGGATATCTTTTGGTGCAACAAGAGATTGTACAACGGGGAACCCGGCGACGACGTAGCAGCCTGCTCCGGAGCCGACAAGAATGGAGTAGCCGTAGATCCTGGCGTTGGAGGTGTGAATGTCTGCAGTGTCTGTAATTTTTCCCTTCTCATTAGTGTCATTCTATCTGCGCGTTACGATGCAAACAAATAACAAAGGAGGGAGACGAACACATCAATGCTGTTCCAGCAACGACAAGGGCACTACCGAAGATATGCCATGGCAGGATATAAGGCAGCTTCGGCATCAATACCCCATTGGCCATGGCGAAGACGACCATGGAGATGATGAAGGGAAGCAGGCGAACTCCTGCATCCAAGGGACCGTCTCCCTATCCGCGAGCACACTGTCAGTTATATAAGCCCACGGGAATAAGTACGCGCCACATACCCGTGAGAACTGGAAGAACAACGGAATATAGTAAGTCATTGCCTAGGCACCATTGTTAGTATTAGACAGTCCTATTTATTGGTACGGCAGGGGACAACACACCAGCACAACACCCGACACCAAGAACATCTGCACTTGCAGATTTACCAGGATAGGCCGTCGGAGGAAATGGGCTGGATAGAGCCGGTTGTCCTCCTCCACGCCTGGATGGAACTTCGCCACGGCAATACAGACAAGTAGGAGCACCCCCGCTACAACCCAGAGGGCAATTTCACTCCCAGAGCTCCAGGAATACAACGTGCCACCGAACGTGATCGCCATCACCAGACAGGCAGCTCCTGCAAGGAAAGTAGTCGCCATCACCCAGTCTATCATACGGCACTTTTCTGTCCAGCTTTTGAGCGGCTGGGGGTCCACGCTTGGAATAAGGAAGAGGTAGGCGGGGGCGAAGACGGCTCCAATCGGGAGGTTTATGTAAAACGCCTAGCATACAGATATGTTAAGGATGGCTCCCAAAAATGCGTCAGACGGTGTGAGAACGTACCCATCGCCAGGTCGCAGAACTATCTGCAAAAGCGCCGCCGACCTATTCATCAACCGCCATGGTCAGTTACGCTGTAAAAAAGGCAAGTGATGACTGAACCTACCACCGGACCTAGAACACTTCCGATTCCCCAGATAACAGTGCTGCCAGCCATATAAATAGGTCTCTCTTTGAGCGAAGTCAACATCGCCACAAAACTCAACGTCCCCGAGTACATCCCCGATCCCCCCACGCCGGCGATGACACGACCAACCACGAGGGCAGTCATATTCGGTGCTGCGCCGCACACAGCACTTCCAATTTCAAACAGCGCGATATTAAACAGATAGACATATTTGGCGTTGAACACTCCGTAGACCTTGCCCCATGGCAAAACACACATGGTGCCGAGAGCAAAGCCGACTCCGATCCATGGGAGGAGGGAGACTTCGCCGAATAGGTCGAGAATCACGGGTTGGATGTCGGCGACCTATACCATTATTATATGCTGTTAGATAATTCCCTTGGACCGGTCTAATATGAGAAGCTGGTGGGAGGGGTATGAGGACGCACGATGGTGTTGTCCAACGCGAAGAGAAATGTTGTCGAGATCATGGAGGCGTATGCAATGGCCCACTGCATGCCAATTAGCTACCATTTTCACTCCACACAGAGAGTGGTAGAGCGATACAGTACCTTCCATCCATGAATTGGACGAGGCGATGTCTCCTTAGGGACGTCATTCTCGCTAGAGTCGGTGCTAGCAAGGATACCATTGCTACCTTGTTTTTCTGGGTCCACATCCATGGCAGGCATGATGAAAGGGGAGTAAGGATTACAGAATTTTCATACGATAGGAGAATTCACGAAAGAACCATTGACGGGGGCGTTGCTGCTTCTATGGGTTGATTTTATATCGAATGCCCCAAAGGGGCAGTTAGGGCTCCGAGCGGCCGCTCCAAGTCCGTGTCTTGGCGCCTCATCGGCCGCCCCAAGTCCGTATAAGCTCACCCTCACGCGTCACTCCTTGTTGTGATGTCCATTCGCCTTCTTCGACGTCACCATATTCACCTCTGCCTTGTGAGTGTCATTCCCTCGGGAATCCGTCGCGAATGGGCACTCAGATACTCCTGGAGCAGCCCCCGATAGTCTTGCGGCCGGTACGGGACGAACCACTCCTCAAAAACAGTCTTCTTCCGACGGGGATTGAGGCCAAGATCTCTCATGAGAATGTCCAGGTACTAATCCATGCAAGCAACCCCTGTCAGCATTTGCATACCAATAGTCTAGTACCACTTAAGCGGTAACGGGTGGCCAGCTTACCGAGATATAGTCGTAAATAAAATACGAGTGCTTCTTCCCCTGTTCAATATATCGCTTGCGAGTCCATGCATTGAAGGTCGCTGCCTCTAGCTCCATTTCCTCCTTCCCAGGGACATTCATCCAGTCGTTCAGAAACGCAAACCCCCACAATGCATGGAGTTCCGCTGCCAGTGGTGTGAAGGCAGAGTGAATGTGACCCGGGAACACGATGGATCTGTCCCCTTTGGCCGCCAGTTCGGGAACAATGAGACGACGATAATGCCGATTTGGTCCCTGGGTGTGCTTTCTCTGCTCCAGTGCCTCGAAAGGCGAGTTGTTCAGGATAGGTAGCTGATCGTTTACCTTCTGCTCGGCCTGTGCGTCCAGTACCGTCCACTTGGAGAACAACGAGGAGTCGTAATGGAGACCTAGTTCTTCCTGCAGCGAGGGGCTGAACGTATCGTATCCCTTCTCAAATCCGGTACAGTGAATAACAATGTCAGTCGGCACGGAAAAGCCGTTCTTGAAGTTGACAACATCCAGATGCGAGAGTGATTCTATCTCCGTGCGGTGCACCGTGACGTCTCCCTCGTGGATGACTTGCCAAAAGTCGGGCACGGTCGCTATTCCGATACCTCCACTGCCCCAGAAAAGCCTATATCCAGTGACTGGTTAGCCGTGAAATTCCCGAGCAAAGCATACAAAAGAAACCCGTACCCATCTGTGTGAGGCCAGGGCCGCAGATGCTCGGTATGCTCATCATCGCCGAAGCGCGCATATCTACCTGCCAGACCTGTGGCAACTTGCCAATAGACACGCATGAGTGATCTACCGATCACACTCCGCTGCAAAAAGTTATCCCAGAGCCCATTACAGCTCATGATGCTTGGGCTAAAGCTGGATGCGAATCGGGTGGAGATATGGTCTGATATATGCCACAAACCCATGAACGTCGGGGCAAATATGGAAAACGCTCCGGAGGCACTCGGTCGGATAACCCAGTCCACCTTCTTCCCCGCTTTGAGTAGCTGGTAGACGGTGTCATAGGATGATTTCGAGGCTCCCACCACAGTGGCTCGCTGGATCACGTCGCTCTCGATCAAGGACAGGTTAGAGGCGATGTCTAGCGAGTGGATGACGGGCTTGTGGAAGTTCTCTCGTGGCCATTTCGGTCTAATAGGGCTTGAATTGGCACCCGTGGCATAGATCAACTTTTTGCATTCGATTTGTCGCTCCCCGGAATGTGTTTCCACTATCCAGCCTTGGTGATTGGCATTTCGACGCACTTGAGACACGCGAGTCCGAAGACGAATGTAACGCATGAGGTCATGATCTTCGGCAAAGCTGGCAAGATAGTTGTGGATTGCTTGCCCGGAGATGAAGCCACCGGGGGAGATTCCCTCGTTCTTCATCGGATAGAACGAGTACTCAAAGAGCGGATAGCTGATCTGCGCGTAGAGGCTGGGGTAGATGCGCTCCTGGCTCCAGATTCCACCGATCGTCTCTCCGTCATCCACCACGAGAAGATTAGTCTCTGGGGCAAGTTTTAGGTACGTCTGTGCTGCCACCAGTCCATACCAACCTGGCGAAGTTAGTGGAAGCCTGGACGAATATACGAGGAAATCTGCCACCACACTCACCAGCACCCACAACAAGGACGTCTACCTGCTCCATGATTTCTGCCACTGAAAACCGCCGATAGAATACCTGGGTAGGTTGTGGGAATGGCAACTCGTCGGAGGATGGAATGTGGCCTGTTAAAAATCGCAAACCTGGCGAAGAAATTCCGACGCGATTGCCTTCTTCGCCAGGTAGCGCTATGCGTCCCCGCCCCTGTGCTAATCGGCCTCATTCTATCCTATTCGGCCTTTGGGTCGGGATGGTGTATACGATTAGGATTTGAGGATTCGGGCGGGTGATGCGACAATGGTAATGTGTCGGCCGCTTTTGCGCCGTGTAGTCGCCGACGGCCTTAAAGGCGGCGCTATCGTCGCGCACACTCCGGCTCACGCCCCCAAGATAAGATACACATCACTATAGCTACCAGAGTTAGAGAGGGTAGGATGTGAATCCCTCCGGCTATCTTGTCCGCGGTTGCGGCCGTTCGTCAGCAATTCTCCTTCGAATAGGGTGGAGAGCGACGGACACCGATATCCGTCACGGTCGGTGGTAACTGCGAGGTTTCAGAACATCCATACCCGCGGGGAAAGCAGCTTCTGCCCGGGAGTTTCTCCCCATCTAATGGGACCAAAGACAGGAAGCTGCATACTGATTCCGAGGTGGGGGAAAGATATTGAGATATGATCGCTCTTGAAAGAGCTATATATTCAGTCTTCATGCTCGGACTCAAGAGGTTGTAGCTTGCAAACAGCTTTCTCATTCATCAACTCTTATAGACTATAGAGGACGATGCCTTACGTCAAAGACAGCTCCTCTTCGGGAGCATCCGATTCCGAATCCGGTCCCCAGGTACTCTACAATGGCCAGCGGATCGTGAGCGACTGGGAATACGCCGGGGGCTCCAAAGCCACACGAAACGAGCCTCCTCTGAGCGAGCAACTGGAACCTATTGCTGTCATTGGAATGGGTATGCTAAACTTTGATGATAATCATTTTCAAGACGGTTGTGTTAACTATCGAGCAGGGTGTAGGCTTCCAGGGGATGTCTCCTCGCCCGCCGATTTCTGGAAGATGATGCTCAACAAGGGCACTGGGCAGACGCCAAAGGTACCCCCATCGCGGTTCAATATTGACGCACATTTTCACGAGAACAATGATCGACCTGGTAGTTTTGGCGTGCTTGGTGGCTATTTCTTGAACGAAACGTTGCAAGAATTCGACCCCAGTTTCTTTGGAGTAACTCCTGTGGAGGCAATGTGGATGGACCCCCAGCAACGAAAGCTCCTAGAAGTGGTCTACGAGGCCTTTGAATCAGCCGGTGTCAGCTTGCAGCAGGTTTCAGGATCTGATACCGCCTGCTTCATTGCAACCTTCACGTCCGACTTCCAACAGATGTCGTTCAAAGAACATAGCTTTCGACACAGTCTAGCTGCTACCGGCGTTGACCCCGGGATTATTAGCAACAGGATCAGCCATATCTTCAATCTCCAGGGCCCCAGTATCGTCGTCAACACCGCCTGTTCCTCGTCTGTATACGCAATTCACAATGTTTGCAATGCGTTGCGGACCAAGGAGTGCTCTGCCGCCGTCGTGGGTGGATCAAACCTCATCTTGACCGTCGACCAACACATGAACACTGCCAAACTAGGTGTCCTGTCACCTGAATCTACCTGCCACACCTTTAACGAACACGCAAATGGCTATGGCCGTGCAGAGGGTGTGGGTGCTGTGTACCTGAAGCGTCTCAGTGATGCTATCCGTGATGGAAACCCTATCCGAGGAGTTATCCGATCTAGCGCGACAAACAACAACGGCAAAGTTACCGGTGTTGGCATTACTCACCCCAGCTATGCCGGCCAGTGTGCCGTGATCCGACAAGCCTATCAGCGTGGAGGACCCCTGGATCCAGCATTGACGGGATATTTCGAGACTCATGGAACTGGTACTGCCATTGGTGATCCGCTGGAGGTGAAAGCCGTTACAGATTCGATGAATGAATGGCGACCAGAAGATACTGAGCCATTGATGATTGGCGCGGTAAAGACAAACATCGGCCACAGCGAGGCTGCCAGTGGACTCTCCGCCATCATCAAGGCTGTCTTGACGGTTGAACGGGGCATCATTCCACCGACTCGAGGAGTGACGAAACTGAACCCAAAGATCGATTGGAAAGGGTGGCAGGTTAAGGTCCCCACCGAACCGACGCCTTTCCCGGCCCATATTCCTGTCCGGCGAGTGAGTGTGAATTCATTCGGATATGGAGGAACAAACGCACATATCATTGTTGAAGCGGCAGACTCCTTGCTTGCGGTACCGCAACAATATAGGTACACAACTCCCCATGGTAGGCCTCGATCCCGCATAACCAGAAGGGCACTTGAACGGAATCGGCCCTTTTTACTGCCATTTTCAGCCCATGATAAGCCGACTCTCAAGCGGAATATTGAAGCCCACGGGGCGGTGGTCCAGCAGTACAATCTGTTGGATCTTTCCTATACCCTCGCCAATTGTCGCACGCTTTTCCCTAACCGGGGATTCGCTGTCACGACAAACGCCCAGAAAGAAGCCATGTTTTGTGATGGATTGCAGCATTTCATGTTCGCAGACAAGAAGAAAGCTGGAGCATTGGCATTTGTCTTCACCGGACAGGGAGCTCAGTGGGCCCGAATGGGCGCAGAGCTGATGACATATTACCCCAGCTTCCTGCAAAGCATCAAGCGGATGGATACAGTCCTAGAGGAATTGGAGGATGCCCCTGAGTGGACGCTGGAGGACACTCTACTGGAGGACGCGAAGACGTCGCGGGTCAACATGGCAGAATTCTCGCAACCCCTGTGTACGGCAGTCCAGATTGCTCTAGTTCAATTGCTGAGACTGTGGGGCATCACTCCATCCGTCACATGTGGTCATTCATCCGGTGAGATAGCGGCTGCCTACGCGGCTGGCCTTTTATCAGCTGCAGAAGCCATTGCCCTGGCGTACTACCGCGGCAAAGTCGTGTGTGATATCAACACTAACGGCGCCATGCTTGCTGTCGGTCTCGGAGCAGAAGCTGCGACTCCATATATTGAAGAATACAATGGGTCTGTGGTGGTGGCATGCCATAACTCCCCGGCGGGCGCTACCTTGAGTGGTAACGCCGATGCCCTAGAAGCCATCCAGGAGAAGCTGACAGCTGAGAAAATATTTGCACGAATTGTGAAGACGGGAGGGAAGGCGTATCACTCCCATCATATGATGCCCGCAGCAACCAAATATGAAGCCTTAGTCAGGCGTGCCAGGAACGCTGGAAACTTGGACGGTCCCAAACTCTCTACGGATAATGTGAGGATGGTGTCGTCTGCTACCAGCACAATTTTCTCTGATACTACTGTCCTCGACGAATCGTACTGGAGTGCCAACCTTCTGAGCCCGGTTCTGTTTACACAGGCTATCCATATCATCGGCTCGAGCGCCGAATTTTCGCACGTCGACACACTTATTGAAGTCGGACCTCATTCCGCACTTGCTGGTCCGATCCGTCAGACGAAGGCTGAGTACAGCTTTGAGAGACTTCAGTATCTCCCTACTTTAGTTCGGAATGAACACTCGGCTCTATCGCTACTGAAGTTGGCTGGGGAACTGTTCCTGCACGATTACCCGTTCAACATCGAACGCGCTACCTCAATCGAAGAGACCTCTCCGAGTGGCAAGATCTTTTGCTCTAAGGGCAGCTTAATCGTTGATCTTCCCCCGTACCAATGGGATAAGACCAAAAGATTCTGGGTGGAAGGGCGTGAGAGTCGCGAGCACCGACAGGCAAGATACATGCGGCACGATATCTTAGGATCGCTAGTTCCCGGCTGCTCGCTGGCGGAACCGTCATGGAGGAACTTCCTCCGGATTCGTGACCTTCCATGGCTAAAGGATCACTCGCTTGGCGGAGAAGCAGTCTTCCCCGCCGCTGGATATTTCTCAATGGCAATGGAAGCCGTCACACAAATTGCTGAGAGAGCTCCCTCCCCAACATCCGTTGAGGGATACATGCTCCGAGACGTCAGCATCAAACAGGCTCTTGTTACACCAGACGACGATACTGGCATTGAGGTCATGTTTAACATGCGTCCCTCCATCCATGCCCTGACCGAGGACCAAACCCCCTGGTGGGACTTCAATGTTTCTTCTGTCGGCGAGGGTGCGCACGTCAAAGAGCATATGGCCGGGAGCATCGCTATCACCACCCGTCGCCACGGACAGTCCATTCGAAGTGTCCCCAATCTTCCCCAGCGCGCCTCAGGAAAGTCCTGGAACCAGGCTCTTAATGCTGTCGGGTTCTACTATGGCCCAACCTTCCAGGATATGGAGAATATCCGTTTTGACGGCAAAACATACGCTGCCACCTGCGACACCCGCATCAAGACCACCGTCGAAGGGATGGCCGGCGAATCCAGACATATCATCCATCCAGCCTCCGTTGATTCTTGTCTGCAGCTGCTGATTGTGGCTAACTGGGCCGGACGCAGCACTATGATGACATCCGGTGCTGTGCCTATTCAAGTGGACGAAGTCACGATCTGGAAGCCCACAGATAAACAGGTCGATGGCGGAGAGGCAACCGCCTTTTCATGGATCTCCCCACGTGGATTTCGCGCCTTCAATGGCCACAGCGAGCTTAAGGCTAATGATAACGAGCTTCTCGTGCAGATTCGAAATATGAGATGCATGGCGTATGAAGCTGCCGTCCCCCAGCATGCTGGCGAGCCCGCAAAGCCTCAGCCTTATGGGGAGATGGCATGGAAACTGGATGTTGACTCGCTGCGTGGAAACTTCGATTTAGACATTGCGTCCTATGCCGAGCTGGTCCATTTCAAGAAGCCAGAATCGAAGATTCTGATCTCCGGAGAAGAAACTGTGGAAGCTGTGCTGGCAAATTTGCCTTCTGCGCGCACAGTAACGGCTGTAGCCCCTACGACTAAGCTCGTCGATCATCTGAAAACACGCTTTGCGGGTGTTGAAGGCTTGAATATCCAGAAATTAGACTTCTCTGAAGACCTGGAAGGTCAGTCGATGAAGGAGGGGTCCTACGATCTGGTACTTGCGCCCACTGATTTGCGTGACAATCCCCAGATAGCGCAACGACTCCTGGCCCCAGGAGGAAAAGCGGTCATTGAAGTTGATACCGATGGATATGTGGAACTTGGTATTCCCGGAAAATGTCTCTCCTTGGGAAACGGCTCGACAATTGTCCTGAGTAGTGAAGATGCGATGTCCAATGGCACGAGCCATACCAATGGCACCTCTTCTCATACAGTTCATCTCGTGTATTGCGAAAAGCCCTCGGAGGTCATGAGTGGTCTTGTCTCTGCGCTGGAAGCTCGCGGATTGCAGACCAAGGCAAGCAGAATCGTGGATTATGTTGATGCAGGTGACATTGTTCTGATGCTCGCCGATCTCGAGCGACCGTTCCTTCAGACTATCACTGAACAGGAGTTCCATGGCCTACAGCGAATCACAAACACGGCCAAGAATCTCCTCTGGGTTACGACCGGTGGCCTCTTCGAGGGCAAAAGCGCAGACAGCGCCATGGCATCAGGCTTGATCCGATCCCTCGCCTCCGAGCAGGTTTCTCTAAATGCAACTTTGATCGACTTCGACATGGAAACGACGTCCAACGAAGACCTCTTCCACATTGTGGGACATCATGTCACGGATAAACTCCACAACTCGACCTCAGTTGATAATGAATTCTGTGTCTCTCGCGGCAAAGTCTTCATCAGCAGACTTGTTCCCAGCGAGATTATCAACAATACCTACTCAGTTGATGAGACGAAACCGCGGCCGACGATCTTTGACCCGCAATTGCCCATAGTTGGGAAGCTACAGTCCGGAAAGGTACTTTTCGAGATAGATGCCCGTGTTGGGGGTCCTCTTGATTCTGAAATGGTCGAAGTTCGCGTGCTGGCGACTGGTTTGAACAAGGAGGACGCCGTCATTGCCTCCGGGACCGATTTCCCAACCGATTTCAGCCATGAGATAGGCGGCACAGTTATTAGAGCCGGGTCCACCGCAAGCGGATTCACACCAGGTGACAGGGTGGTTGGATTCAGTTTCGATAAGTTTGCCACGGTGCAACGAGTCCATCAGAGCCTTTTGCAGCAGCTCAAGCCCGCGGAATCTCTAGCAGAGGTTACAAGCCTCCCCATGGCTTACGGAGCAGCTATATACGGTCTGCACACCCTCGCGCACATTCAAACGGGTGAGGTGGTCCTTATATTGGCAGGAGCTGGATTAGCTGGTGCTGCTGCAGTGCGGATCACCCAGGCTGCTGGTGGCTATCCCTATGTGATTGCCGAGAGTCCAGCGCAGGCAGACTATATACGAACCCAGTTTGAACTCGAAGCTAACCATGTTCTTGTTGGCTCGGAAATCTCTCGCCTCCGCGAGGTAAATGGCGATTACAAGGCTGATATCATCTTTTCATCCGGTTGGGTGGCCGCATCTGTGGCACGAGAAGCCTGGCGGCATATCGCACCCTTCGGTCGCTTCATCAACTGCGGTCGGAAGGACGTCCTTTCCCGAAGCACACTTGACACCGTTCCGTTCCATCGTGGTGCACAGTACCTTTCCTATGACCTTTTGGAACTCTACGAGCACAAGCCGCAGGCCATGGCTCAACTGCTGAAAGAGACGATCGATATCTATCGACAAGGCAGCATATCTGCACCGTTACCCCTGCATCAGAAGAATATAGCCAATTTAGACGAAGCGATCTCATCGTTCTCAGACAATTTTGAGGCCGGAAAGACCATCATTCTGCATGAAACATCGGAAAGCACGGTGAACCTTCTTCCGCCACGGCCTCACCTGAGACTCCACGCGGACGCGACATACTTCCTCGTTGGGTGTCTAGGAGGGTTGGGTCGGAGCTTGACTGCGTGGATGATGAAGAAGGGAGCCCGAAATTTTGCGTTCCTGTCTCGTTCTGGGGCGGACTCCCGACAGGCCTCCCTCCTCGTTGAACAGCTGCGGGCTGCCGGTGCCACGGTGCAGGTCTTCCGGGGAGATGCTGGCGCCAAAGCGGATGTGGAGGCTGCCCTCAGTGGTATCCCAGCAGAGCGTCCTGTCCGTGGAGTCATCAATGCTGCTATGGTCCTGAAGGTAAGTAACACATCCCCTACCCTCAAGATCCCTCCGCCGGACTAACATATTCCAGGACGGTCTGTTCCACAACATGCCATACGAGAACTGGACAACCTCCATCCACCCCAAGGTAATCGGGACAAAGAATCTCCACCAGGTGCTCCAAAACACTCCTCTCGACTTCTTCGTAACCACAAGCTCTGTATCCGGTATCTTGGGAACACCCGGCCAAAGCAACTACGCCGCAGCAAACAGTTACCTGGCCGCTCTAGCACGACACCGTCGCACCCTCCAGCAAAGCTCCGTATCCATCATCCTCCCAATGATCCTCGGCATCGGCGTGGTCGCCGAGAACACCGAGCTCGAAGACTCCCTCAAGCGAAAAGGCATGTACGGCATCGACGAAGAAGGGGTATTGAACGCATTTGAGATCGCAATCATCGAGCAAAGCCGAGGCGGCATCTCAGACCACCTCGTTGTCGGGCTAGAGCCAGCCGAGCTCGTAAAGGCAGGGCAAGAAGCTGGCGAGGAGGTTGATCCCTTCTGGGCATCAGATGTCCGGTTCAGTCATACCGTCCACGCGATGAAGTCGCGAAGCGACGATGCGTCTACGGGGGGCAGTCAGAGCATTCTGGCATCGCTGCAGAGCCTATCATTCCGCGAGGCGGTTGATGCCGTGCGGCAACATTTTGTTGCAAAGCTGGCGCGCATGCTCATGTTGAACGCAGAGGACTTTGAGGAGAGTCGCTCGGTGGCAAGTTACGGGGTTGATAGTATGATTGGGGCGGAGCTGCGTAACTGGATTTTCAAGGAGCTGGCGCTTGATATCTCGTTCCAGCAGCTGTTGGGTCCGACGTTGACGATTTCGAAGTTTGCAGAGCGGGTGTGTGCGAAGCATGGGATTGAAGCTGTGTAGATAATCTTTGACTGTATAGCCCCTAATTACTATCTTGAGCCTTCTCAACTTAATCTTAGCAGGATCTGTCGAAGTTCATTTCCACATCTTGGAAATACGAGGTCGACCCTACCTCCCAAGGGAACATGGTCCAAGGACCATATTTATTCTCGTTCGTCCATTCCCAAAGCCAATAATCCGGATCTGTCGGATTGAATATCACTATCAAAGAACCTCTTGCTTTTATCCAATACTCTTTATCCGCCGTAGGAAAACTTGACCAGTTAACTTTCAAATTAGTTAACTATCTGAAAACTATCTCAAACCCATCAAGTCATATAGGGGCCGCCCTAATGTGAGTCTTACCACTCTAGTTACAAAGTACAAGTACATAATATATACATGGTACCCTCACCTTCCAGGGATCCTGGCTCATTGCGTTTCATGTTAACTACGGAGTGGCCTGGCGTGACCTGTCGCATGATAGACTTATGACGGGTCAGGCTTTCGACGTCCTTGGTGGGGCGGGCCACGCGATTTGGTTTTTGCTTTTGCATGAACTGGAGGATCAGAAAGACAAAGTCCAGACCAAAGAATCTCAAGAAGGCTATGACAGAAATGGAGTAGGTAGTCCTACAGTATGGAGGAAGAATACTGAGCACAACAAAGGTACGAGGAGAAGACATTCCTTCGACCCGAGCGCAAGGACAGTTGAAACCGACTCCACGGGCGCCATCCGATTGGGTTGGTCTGATGTCAGGAACAGCGATCGCCCGATGATCCTGTCGAGAAAGTTAGCGGGGGGCTGCAGAGAAAAAAGGAAAAGAAAAGAAGGGAGAGAAAAGATGATCCTTCCATTCCTCACTTCATTCCAGTCGTCTCCATGGGGGGAGATAGAAAGCTCACGGTTTGCCGTGTAGTCAAAGAAACCGCACTGTTTCTACAGTGACCCTTTTGGACGAAGAAGGGTATCGTCGGCGGCGCTAACAATCTGGATTAGGTAACATAAAGACAGAAGATGCGATTGGCGGAGCGCCCAACGCAGGACTATGAGGGCGCTTCCATCATGACCTGGGTATATAGACCGTCTCTGTTTCTCAAAGTCTTTTTATCTTCTCTAACACCATTCTTCGACTACAATCATAATGGCTATCGACTAATTTGCTCATTCATGAAGCGGACTTGGAGGTCGTCACTGATCCTGCAGAGCCAACGAGAGACAAAGTGCACTCGAAATGCCTTTCGACAGTTACTCCCGGACTCTTCGCAGGGACTCTGTCTGCTCATAACTGGTCGGAATCCTAGGTCACTTTACAGGAAATCTTTGCTCTGCAAATGGTTACCAAGACTCGCCGAAAACATTTGTTTTATGCCACGAAAAGAGGGCTCGGAATGACTTCTTCGCACACGTTAAAATTGCATTGTGGAACTTAATCACTAAATAAATTGATTCAGCTCCTGGCCGATTTGTTTCGTACACATTGTGAGTTGAGAAATACAGACGATATTGATGACGCATCGTTACTTGAAGACCGCTTGAAATCTGAAATTGTGACAGCAATTCGATATTATTTTAGTTTAGAAGCCTGCATACATAGGGCGATTGTTCTCACCAAGACAGAGAGAGGGCTTACTTGGATGAAGTCGAGGAAACAGCCTACTCAAAATGTCTACATTGCCTGCGACTTCATACTGTAGCCGGCGTCTATGGGCTCCAGTATTGGGTTTGTCGTGTCGGGTGCAGACTGCGCGAACCTATCCTCCAGAAATAGTCACAACCCGTATTGGGGGACGATAACTGATATAGTGGATGATTTGGTCTAAGCGTCCTTTCCACGGTTCGTTTCCTAGCCCTGGCGTGGGGTCTAGCCGACCTTCGGGGCTCATGATACTCCCTAAACTTTTTTAGCAAAAGCCGGCGTGCGAGACGGTAAGGACTGCCTGAGAACCTCTGGGAGCTGGCGATATTTTCTACTTTTAGGATAATCTGGGCTGTCCTGTGCTGGCAGCTGATAGAAGCCCGCTGGGAGCTCCGGTGCTGGTCTATTTTTAGGGCAATCTAGGGTGTACTGTATTCTAAGGACAAGAGTGCATGGTTATTTTTAGCAGTATCTGTGGTGTCCTGTGACAGTAGATGATGGAGGACCTCATCAGGCTTCAGACCTTTCCGATGCCCACAGAAGAGGTGGCATTTTGGAACGACCTGGAGATATGTTCTTCGTCCGAGGCAACCTGACTCATTGAGTCAGTCTTGCTACCTAGTAGGCTGTCGGATTGTATAATCTTAGCAAAATCTGGGGTGACCTGCAATAAAGGTTGGCTGGAGGTCTCTGCTGTCCTGCAACAGCATCTGGGAGAAGATCTTTGAGATTATGATGCGTTAGCAAGCACCTCAGATTTTGCTAAAAATTAGGTATCGCCAGCTCATTTATGGATAACTGTCGGTTGGAGCTGCGCCAGGAATATAAGAACGAGAATTTTCACAGCTCCTAATACTGAGAGTTTGTAAAGTTTCGTGCTGATAATATCGTGTCATGATAGATATTAATGGTGTGAATATATTGGATGGTAATTCTGCCTGGGTACGATATAGAGCCAGCGTGGACTGGGGTGCGCGGAAGCTTATACATTCTAACGGCAATATTGAAGACCTGGGGTCCACTAATAATGACGAAGCATGATTAAGTAGCTCTGGGAACTGAAATAGAAGGGGGATAGATGCCAGATACATTACCCCTACTTCAGAGAATGCCATAGATCCAAGTTTATGACCAAAAACTTGGCAGCCTAAAGCGGGTTATTCATCATACGCGAATTAAGAGATACGCCAGACAAATTATAAACTGGTGTCTCCTGCTCAAGGAAGGACGCAGCACTGTAATCATCATCAGAAGAAAGGAAATGGTCGTGAATCGAAAAGGCCATACGCGAAACTATCCATCTGCATCAACGCAAGTGAATGTTATTAGTGTGCGCATTTATGAAGTACTACTGCAAGAATTAACCGCCATTTTATCTTTGACCCACTCGGCAGCCCTTTGAACAGCTTTATCCCGGGCCGCCCCCGAATAAGCAATAAGGGAGGCGGTGTGGACCGGCAGTTTGGTTAGTTGGTTCTTAACGGCCCGCCCGTGTAACATATAGGGTTACTATCGATTAGCAACTAGCATGTCTATAATAGGATGGAGCATCTTATAGGCGCCTGGTTAGGCCAGGCGAAAAGAGTGGGGAGGCAGTGTCTAGATATAGAGGGGAGCCATTTTCGGCGTCGTTTTAGTCGAGGAAAATCGTTGAAGTCAAGCGTCGCCAATAGGACGAGGACGATGACTAATAGCGCTGGTTAGGTGCAGAATAGAGGGCGGTAAAGGGGAGCGGGCGGTCAATCGGCGGCTGGCCGTCTAAAGTTACGAGTGGAAAAGCAGCCGTTCCTGGCGCTAAAGGCTGTCATTTTCGGCGTCGATTTCACAGGTCCCTATATTCTAGTTGTAATTGACAGGAAGGTTGTTAGATGAGAGGCATTTCTCTTATTTCATGGCTTGATAGAACTACGAGGGAACTTGTATCTCATATAATAAAGCCTTGTACAGAACATGTAGAATCGACCTTGGAATTGTACCATAGAAATTGGATGAATCCCCATATCCATTCCTTTTTTAAACGTGCAGAAAAGCTCTAGCCTTGTAGCAATTGCTTAACTGTTTGCGGTCCACTTATAAATACACGCAAAAGGGATTCGTAATGGCCCGTGTGATCGAATCTCTTGCATTTGGTAGAGCTTGGCAAAGCAATGCTGTCGTGCCTGATGCCTCATTCGCGGTGGTCATGTCGGAACCAATACCGACAGAAAGCCCTGAGTCGACAATTAGCTTTGCATGTTCTGGCCAGAATCCTGCATCAACCTCTGTGTCATCAGTGGAAGTCAAAGCTACACTTGCGATAGTCAGTCAGAGGAGACTCCGATGATGAGTTGACATTCTTGATCTGCTTGAATAATTGCAGATCGGTCACTAAAACAAAAATTCTCCCTTCGATGCTCACTCCTTCTCTCAATTACTCATCCGAATCTCACACAGCCCTCACTTTTGGTACAAGTACACACCACGATTTGGTCTGCCTGGACTCAGCAGGCCAGGGTTCGGAGAGAAAAGAAAAAGCGTTTGGATTTCAATTTCATTGATCAGCCATTTGTGTTCTTTTTATTTTTTGTTTTGTGTTTCTGTGAACGAGATCCCATGAATCCACATCGGAGGAAGAGCAAAGACAAAGGAAAGTTGACAACAAGGAAAGCCGTAATTGAAAGACGCTAAAGATGATGAGCCAAGGATATTTCCAACTCCAAAATGAAACCTCCAAGAATGTTATACATGATAAAAATGCCCTCGCATGGGACTCCGGCGATGCAATAATGGGGAATGGGGAATGGGAAATGAAAAGTGAAAGTTTGCCATGCTGTGTAGATGCGCCTGAGACTTGGGGAAGGGAATCATAGTCCCTCGCCACGGAGAAGGCGCCGAAGGATCCCTTCACCGGGACCAGCAATCTGGCTCTCAATTTCCTGCTGAGAAACAAAGCAGACAAGACCTTGCTCGTCAAGGGCCTTATGAGGAGTCGAAGGAGCATGGCCAGATTTTGATGGTGTGCGGCGCAGATCGGTGCCACCTGCAACAGTTCCACCTCGGCCGCGACCCTGATATTCTCCAACCAAACCCATTGTTTCCAAATTGCTGAGAACGTCTTTGAACTCCGTAGCAGTCAAGGGGTGCAGAATGTTGTCATTGCGACACAGAGCACAATATGTATCAAATGCTTGCTTGATAGTGGGTGCCGACGTACGCGACTTTGAGGGCGTGCTTGGGACCTCGAACTGGCGACGTTTGCGTTCAAGCGCAATCAGAGAGCAGATAGCGGCTTTTTGTTGCAGGTTCAAACTTTGCAGTCTTTGTAGAGTGCCTTGCCCAAAAGCCGCGGATGTGATTCGGGCGATGTGGGCGATGCTGGCTCGAGGCGCCGTGATGACTGTG